TAAAAAAAAATATTTGGGAAAAGCAGCATGATAAGAAATTCCATTTCATGAAACATTTAACAAAGCAACCAAAGTGGCAGATAAAATAAAGAGGAATGGAAAATGAGCAAGACATTCCAACACTTTCCAGGAAGATTGTGCCCCCAGTTTTGCATGCCCCATTCCAGTCCTTGGCCAGGCTTCTGTCTGATCCAACCCATCCAGTAGCTGTTAACATTGAATCCAGAGACAGCACGAGTCAATTTATGGGATTCTCCTGGTTTCTTCAGCACTGCATCTGACTGGGTCAAAGCAATCTGGGAGAGGCCACCTAATGAGAAAAGACAAAGGACAATTGGATGATGGTTAGAAAGTAAGAGCCATAGTAAACATGTAAAATTCCCTTCAGTGCTAGGGGAAAAAAACTTAATATAGTCCAAATTACAAACCTCTAGAGAAGGCAGCCAGTATGATGAGAATTAACAAGTGGGGTGTCATTGTGAAAAAGGAATGAGATTGGCACCTTGAGTTGAACCTGAAGAAGAAGAGTTTAAATAGGAAGTGAAAGTCTTTTTGGCTTTGCACAAAACCTGCTGGGAGCTGAATAAATATTAGATGAAGTCCAGAAGTGTAGTGAAATTTAGTTGAGAATAGATGATGATATAGAGTGTCTGGATGCAAGCAGTCCTTAACGTATGCTCTGGAATTTTGGTTGTTAGATAGTGCTGCCATGAGTAGAGGCAACCACATGACTGGAAGCAAATCTTCAACCATTCTTTTTAGTGATCAATATGAGAATCTTTAGGTTTTTAAGCAAATCCTTATTCATTTCATCCCTACTCTGCCCCAATGATTTTTATTCCAGAATACAGAGAACTCTCATTTTGTGATTCTGTGGAGAGATTTCAGTTGCAAAAGGATAGGGTTTTGCATTGGATCTCTGCACCATTTCAGACCAATGGCTTTCCAATCTCTTCTTTAAAAAATCCAGTGATGGAGCATTCACAATCAGACCTGCAAGATTCTGGTATATTAACTGACTTTTTGGGGGGATGTGTAGATTTCTAAAATAGAGGGAACCAGTGGCGGAGAGGCGAAAACCCTGAGCCTGTCAATCAGAGAGGTTGGCAGCTCAGCTGTTCGAATCCCTAGTGCCACATAAGGGAGTGAGCTCCCGTTACTTGTCCCAGCTTCTGCCAAGCTAGCAGTTTGAAAGCATATAAAAATGCAAGTAGAAAAATAGGGACCCCATTTGGTGGGAAGGTAACAGCATTCCATGCGCCTTTAGTGTTTAGTCATGCCAGCCACATGACCACAGAAATATCTTCAGACAGTTTTGGCTATTTTGATTTGAAACGGAGGTGAGCACCGCCCCCTAGAGTCAGGAACAACTAGCACATATGTGCAAGGGGAATCTTTACCTTTACTTTAGATTTCTAAAAGAGAGCTAGAATTCACAGTGCATGCCCAAAGGTGATTACTTTATTGTAATTAGCAGAGCTTTCTAATATATGTGTGTGTTTGTGTGTGTGTGTGTGTGTGTGTGTGTGTGNGTACTGTCTTATTTATCCCCTCCCCTGTTTTATTGTGAGCTGCCCGGAGTCCTTCGGGAGTGGGAGGCATACAAAACCAATCAACTAAACTAAACTAAACGATCCTTGTTTACACAGAAGTTGATCTTGGGCCATTCAGACGCTATCAGCTCTATTCATCTCATAATGTTCTTGTTGGGGTGGGGGAGAAAAGGAGGAAAGGAATATTAGATGTATTCATTGCTTTGAACTACTTATAAAACTAACTTCCCCGCCGCACTGAAAGCGGCGGTGGTGAGACCCCTCCTGAAGAAACCTTCTCTGGATCCAGCTGTTCTTAATAACTATCGTCCAGTCTCCAACCTCCCCTTTGTAGGAAAGGTTGTTGAGAAAGTGGTGGCCTCTCAACTCCAATGGTCCTTGGGTGAAACCGATTATCTGGATTCCTTTCAGTCCGGTTTCAGGCCTGCCTACAGCACAGAAACTGCTTTGGTCGCACTGATCGATGATCTCTGGCAAGCCAGGGATAGGGGTCAGTCCTCTATCCTAGTGCTCCTTGACCTCTCAATGGCTTTCGATACCATCGACCATGGTATCCTTCTGCGACGGTTGCGAGAGGTGGGAGTGGGAGGCATTATTCTTTGGTGGTTCTCCTCCTACCTCTCGGACAGGTCGCAGTCGGTGTTGGTCAGAGGGCAGAGGTCGACCCCTAGGCCCCTCAATTTTGGGGTGCTGCAGGCCTCGGTCCTGTCCCCCCCTCCTATTTAACATCTACATGAAGCCGCTGGGTGAGATCATACGGTGGCACGGGATTAAATACCACCAATATGCGGACGATACACAAT